GTATAATACCAGCAAAAAAGGGCATAATTCCCGTGATCGCTTCGAAGCCTGATCAATATTCCGGTAATGAGACATTGCGTGTGATCACTGATCATGTATTCTATATGAACGAGTGATTTCGTGTGAGTCGTGAGGTAGCAAATACGGTTAGACAAAATAGTCTGCAATTTAATATACTCACTTTGTCGCCTATGCGCTTAGTATGTTTATAAGTCTATAAACACATCTTTCCTTGGCGGAATTAGTAACTATATTTTTTCGAATGCGTTTCTTCCCACCTACTTTCAAAATTCGGCGCGGGATCGGCGCCCCCTTTTCATTTTTGCGCCCCCCAAAAATTGCCAGCTGGGGGGCCGTGGCCCCCCGGCCCCCCCTGCCAGCACGCCACTGCATCAATCACGCCATCCTGGCTAGTACAACCGGCACTTTGTACCTATCAAAACCTGATAAAAACTTCCGGCTGCACTAGCCAGGATGGCGTGAGCGCGTTAAAATTTTCGTGCGTTACACTTCTGCTATACTTTCCTATTTTGTGGTTATATGCTGTATATTCAAATACATTCTTCAACCGGAATATAACCATACGTGGTTATTATTGTATTAACGCTATAGTAAAAATTTAAAAAAATATCGTGCACGCGGCAAGATTCGATAAAAAAATATCGTGCGGAGTCGGTGAGGTCCAAAAAAAAATCAAGCACTCTCAAAAATGCGCCCCCCCCCCATGAAAAATCAAATGGTCCGTCCCTAAGTGGATTTGTTATAGGTTACATTTCAGCCTGAGTTAGTAGATGCTCCAAATACAGTAAAAGTAAAAAGTATAGCGTAGCGAAATAGCGAAATAGTTCGCTACATTTTCTAAGCAGTAGCTGTATGCAGTAGCGAACTACCTTTGTTCAAAAGTAGCAGTAGTTGTAGCTGACTACATATTTTTGAAGTAGCTGTAGTTATAGCGAACTACAAAAATTTTGTAGTCAACCCACCCTTGTAAATTTTACTTCTCTCTATGCTTCGAACTACTAAATTCTCGATGCGAAAATGTTTCTGATGCATTCCAGGTTAATATGATGTTCCATTGATGTTTCATATGATGTTCCATCACCCCGGCTAGAAAGAGCATGTTAAAATTAGTAAAATTGCAAAGTTTGGTCGCCAAATGTTGTGAAATGAGGAAAATACAGCCCTACGAAATTTGCAAACTTTGTACTAATTTGTATTACGCACGGGAAAATGCACCACTATCGGCCTAAATATGATGCATTTTCCCGCGTACAAATTAATACAAAATTTGCAAATTTCGCATGGCTATATCTTCCTCATTTTACAACATTTCGCAACCACACTTTGCAATTTTACTAATTTTAACATGCTCTTTCTAGCTGCGCCTATGGATTTTGTTCTTCTTGCCTAGATCAAAATTTAGTCTATATAGCTTGAATCATTCATTGGTCCTAGTTCAGTGGCATAGTATTAATGATGTCATACTTACGAGTACATCCGGCAGACAGATTAAAGCGATTTTCCCCACATTGATCACACTTCACCCCAAGTACCCCCGGTCGACATTCACAGCAACCATTCTCATCACATGACACACCAAGTGATCCATCAGCATGACAGCCGCAAGCTAAAGAAAACAATTTATAATATAGCATTTGTAAATTCTGAACGCTGATTGGCTAAGAGCCGTGTAACTGTTCATAACTCCATGTCAACACGGGAAATTTTCCGCCGCTTGTAACACGGAAATGGCAATTGATAAAACTAGAATAGTGAAGCGAATAGTGCGAATAGTCGACGAATAGTGCGAATAGTCGACGAATAGTGCGAATAGTCCGCGAATAGTCGACGAATAGTGCGAATAGTCCGCAAATAGTCGACGAATAGTGCGAATAGTCCGCGAATAGTCGACGAATAGTGCGAATATTTGACGAATAGTCGACGAATAGTGCGAATATTTGACGAATAGTCCGAAAGTCCGCGAATAGTCGACGAATAGGGCAATAGAGACTTTTGCACCAGTGCTGTACTGTTGCCCTAAATTTATCGGAGGGGGAGGGGCGAGGGGCATTTCACTCCAAAAAAGCGTACGGGATTTTCGGATTTTTAAAATCCGCAGATTTTTTAGCGGATATTTGAAGAGAAAATCTGTTGGATTTTCCGGATTTGTTCGGATTTTTTCCGGATTTTTTGACGAAGCGTACGGGGTTTTCGGATTTTTAAAAATCCGCGGATTTTTCCCGGATTTTTGAAGAGAAATTCTGTTGGATTTTTCGGATCTGTTCGTTTTTTTCCGGATTTTTTGACGAAGACAAAAATTTTAAAAGGGGAAATGTTTCTCTTTGGTTCCACCCCCTACCATCAACAAAGGCCAGCCGTAAAGCTCTAAAAGAGTAAGGTCTGTTCATAATTGAAAGATTGCTTGTCCTATCCGAGAAAAGAATGGAAAGGAAATTAATTAAATAATGCTAATTATTCTATGTATTGCATAGCAAATTTTGATTAGAAAACAATTCTCCATGATGTTGTTTTATGTCACTCACTGCACCCACACAGGTTACAGTATATTCTGTTTTTCAGACACTAGCATCGCTTCTGATCGAAACTACGTTTTTGGGAAATCTACCATCCAATATAATTTTGCATAAATTAAATCCCCAAAACTGGATTTAATTTATGCATTGACAAGCCTTCTTTCAAGTGTTCACATACCTTAATCATTTAGATTCAGTTCTGTGCACATGCAGATATGAGACTGACAAACAAATCCACAAACCTTCAACTCTAAGCGTGCAATGCTTAATGGGAGGACACGTTTCAAGCTTAGTAGTTCAATATTGCAGCTATTTGTGAATGAATTGTTCTCGTAAGGAGATATTTACCATACCTCTAAAAAATGGGCCCCATATATGATTTTTAAACTGATGGTCCCATTATGCTTTGCACACTCAGAAGTTTAAGGTTTAGTGTTTAAGGTTTGCAAAGGGCAAACTTTTTTGATCAACCAGAAACAATAGCTATAATCATTAACCCAGGGATGGATCCAGCATGATCTGGTGGGGGGGGGGGGTGTTCTGCCAGCTCTGGTGCCGAGTTGTGTCAGTCATGTCATGTGTGCCACCCGGCAATCAACTTGCTTCACTACTGTAAAGTCTTGCTTCACTACTGTATTTGAATTGTATTTTGTTGTTCACAGTTTGCTTATCATCATGTACTGTATCTCATTTTGTCTCTAATATTTTTTGCTTTATCATAGAAAATAGCACCCCCCTGCACCCCCTCCGGCCAGGGCTAGGGGGTGCACCCCCCCTGCACCCCCAGTAAATCCATCTCTGCATTAACCAGGAATTTAACCAGGCATATAACTACAATATATAGGAGACAATGTTGATAATATTACAATACAACATAAAAAATATTTGTATCATTGAAAAAGTAGATGAATTCTGTTAATGTCTGTCTTACTTACAGATTTTTTCAGATTATATTTGGACATAAGCATACTGTATGTGCATTTTTGTGCAGTGCACTTCAGGATTATATGGTAGGGCCAGAAGTCTTGCTGGGGGACATTTCCTGAAATTTAAGTAGTGAGTGCTTTACTGGATGAATCACATGTACCCTACCTATCCACTTCCGACCCAACATCTTTTTCACATTTAATCTATAAAAAGGAAGCAAAAATATGGGAAAGAGTTGTGGGAAATATAAAATTTTAAATATATAGGCAACCCCCATATTGAGGGGTCTGGATATCCAATGGGGGAGGAAGGGTCTTTCAACCTTATTTTTCCTAAGGGAGTGGCTATGTGATTTTTCCTGAAAATGACAAAATTTTGCATCCGGGATGGGATCCAAAATGCATCCAGGAGGGATCCAAATTTACTTTATCCTAAAGGGGTTACAAATGGACCTCTCAATATGGGTGGAGGGTGTCTATATTAAATGGAATGGCCGATTATACTCCACCACAATGACAATTAAAATTGTCTCAGCTTTGACATGCATGGGTTTTCACCAAATATATTGTTCTTTACTCCGGCTCTGGTGTTGTGAGTATAGTGCTCTTCACTGTGACGTGTGTGATGGCCTAAACAGTATTGTGTTCACCATGTTTTATACACTGCCATAAACTTGTCGAGTTGTCAACTTATAATCCACTGACAATTCGGCCTAGATAATCTCTGAAATCACTAAATATTTGTACCCTCTTTTGGTAGCAATTGGGAATATAACACAACATCAATGTACCACTGTGCCATCATATACCAAAAATCTACATACCTTTTTGGGCGATGGTTCAGAGTCCGAGCTTATAACGATACACTCGAGCTCTGTCTCTGACTCTGATGATGGCTATATTAATAATTTAAAAACATCAAATCATAAAAGTTATTTTAGCTCAATGTTTTCTTAGTGTTTTTTTTTAAATATCAGATTATAATAAGGTTACAAGGTGGATACAATACGATATTTTGCTTTACAATTGTTTATAAATTATGCATGAGCTTGAACGACAAAATTTACATGTGCGCATTTAATATTATTACTATATTGACCATTTCGACAATTGCCATATATAAAGTTAAAAATAACTGCGAATAAAACTTCTAGAATACCTTGGCGAATATCAGAATAAAGATAATAAAAATATAACAGAAATATAAAATACCTCACAGTCACAAACCGTTGTTGCCATGATCTCTTTCAGATTCAGACGCTTGAGGCTCTCTTTTGAAGTTTGTAGTTGAGGTTAAAAGGTCGATTTTTCGCAGATAAAATTCCAACCTCGTCCCCAGGGTCTTCCTCGTGGTGGCGCGCGAGCTGAGGAAGACCCTGGTAAAATACGATGAAATCTCCAAGATTCTTGGAGATTTATCGCATGCGCAGTAACGACAACGTTATGTTGCTGACTACAATTAGCGCTGGCGCTTACGATTTTCTTGCTTAAAAATATACATGTTTTGTTGAGTGTTTATGTATTTATTCTCAAAGTTTTAACAAATTTTACGAAAAATACTTCAGATATAAGCTGTGAACACACATGTACACAAAACTATGCAACATTCATCATCATATTGTATCAATTTGTCGGAGTATGGCGCTCATATTTGTGACATCGTTTTGTTCGCTCTGGCAACCCTCGTATATATCAGATGCTATTCGGCTTCAAATGCGACTGAATAAACACTGATAGTGTTGCCTGGAATATGAAATGATATTGATTGATTGTTCTGTATATCAAGGTACGTACTGTACATTTATACTGAATTGAGTTTCAAACTATTTCAGCCTTTAATGAACAGTGAGATTACATCACTAATGGAGGCCATCACTAATATACAGTCATACAGAAAGACTCCATATTTTCTCATCAATTCTGATTATCGTTACAAGTAACAGTAGAAATGCTCTCAAATTTATTCTGTTTTCTATGTAAAGCAAAGCAGCATGCTTTTATTTTGCTTTGGTGGTAGTCACCACTCACCAAGTCAAATGGGCCATTCCATTTAATAGCCCCCCTATTGAGGTCTGGATATCCTATGGGGGAGAATTTTTCTAGAGGGTAGCTTAAGAGATTTCCTAAAAATTAGGTGTTTTAGTGATATCCAAAGGGGCAGGAACAATATCCTAAAGGGGTAGAAAGATATCCATGGGGGTTCCAAAAATGTATCCAATGAGGTTCCAAAATTTTTAAGGTATTATGAAGAGACCCCTCAATAGGGTGTGTGTGTGGGAGGGGCTATATTAGATGGAATGGCCCAGTGTGCTGCAACAACTTTTAAAATTTGTATATATGTTTTTAAGGCACAATATGTAATGGAGTTTGATATGATGATCAGCACAACCTCAAGGTCTTGACTGAATGAACAACTTATCTGATATACTCCTAGTTCCAATACTTTGCTGTATATTATCACCAGCTCAGATGTCAGTTGGATCACTTTGAATGAACATTGGAGTGGCACAATAAAGTGTCTGTATTAGGGAGGAGTCTATAAGGACTGAAGTAAAAGGCACACTTTTGGATATTTGAATCATAGCAACTACATATAGTGTAGGTTTCAAATAAAGTTTGAACAATGTACAACTGAAAATAAAAATGTATTTAATTTGAAACACTTAAAGGAATTACAACATATTATATGATAGTCATATGTACATGATTATAGGTATATTCATTAGTTTTACTAGCTGATATTTATGACCATCCTGGATGACAACATTTATTTTTCCCAAGAGATTTTACTTGCATGATAGTAATAAGTTTAATAGTAACAGAGAAGTGTGATGGATATGTGAAAGTAATTATCATTAGAAATACAAATATTAAACTGTAATTTTGACCATTGTAAATGTATTATTAAAGAAACAAAATACAAAAGTCAAACAAGGTTATTTAACATAATACAGTCATAATACTAAACTGGTTATTAAATAACTACTGAATAGAGGGATCATGAAAATCTTCTAAGATTACTATCATAGCTCTGTAACAGGGAAAGGTATATTGAGTTTCTTCACCTTGATGAACAAAATCATATAGCAGTAGAAAACTATAATGCCATCAACTAATTCCCATTTAAAAATTTTCATGTTGGTCACTGTGAAATATAATCTTGAGGCCATCTTAATGATTGTTTACTATCTGATTGATGACATGATTTAATATATATATTTCCATGGAATTCAAGTTGGCTTTTTCCCAAGTTCATGTAAAATATGGTTCACCTGTTAAAATAATAAAATGTTTATTAGTTGTTTTGTAACAGAACAGTACCTGCTTTAAAGAAAATATAGGAAAGAGAAAATCGAAATAATATGAAATCTTTCTGTATGTTAAAAACTGTGTTTCTGAAGAAGTCTTTCTGCATGTGTGAAATGAAGTCTTTCTGTATGTGTGAAACTGTGTTAGAAAATGTGATTTCCGAGACTCTGAGAAAATGCGAAAGCAACGTGTGAAAATAAATCGAATAAATTCAGTATAAATGTACAGTACATACCTTGATATACAGAACAATCAATCAATATCATTTCATATTCCAGGCAACACTATCAGTGTTTATTCAGTCGCATTTGAAGCCGAATAGCATCTGATATATACGAGGGTTGCCAAAGCGAACAAAACGATGTCACAAATATGAGCGCCATACTCCGACAAATTGATACAATATGATGATGAATGTTGCATAGTTTTGTGTACATGTGTGTTCACAGCTTATATCTGAAGTATTTTTCGTAAAATTTGTTAAAACTTTGAGAATAAATACATAAACATCAACAAAACATGTATATTTTTAAGCAAGAAAATCGTAAGCGCCAGCGCTAATTGTAGTCAGCAACATAACGTTGTCGTTACTGCGCATGCGATAAATCTCCAAGAATCTTGGAGATTTCATCGTATTTT